TGTGGAAGGTCGGTGTTCGATTATGAGGCGAGAATGAACGAAGCACAGCATATGAATGGACAAAACACAACGTATGAAGGAAGAAAAGTTGCCCATTCGCATCAGATCCATGAGAGATAGGTTGTCTATGTACTCCATTTTCCATCAACCAAATAGTGTTGTGGTTTTTTCTAATTGAGTATTCATTTGTTGTTGGTTATGTTCATATATATATATCAACTCGGTTGTTTTTCAGATTTGTATATTCCCAGTCTGTTTGATTATGCACTGAAGGTGTTTGTTGTTATGCTTGTGAGAAATGGTCAGTAAAATTTCTCTAGCTATATTTGCAGAGAAATTTTATAAACACATAAAATTTGGTCAAACACATAGAGAAAGTTTGAAAACCCAGAGAAATTTCAATTCTCTGTGAACAAAGTCAAAAAAATTTATGAACAAAGCTAGGGAAATTTCAATTTTCTCTAAATTTCTTTGGTTTGAACCTAGAGAAATTCTCCTTTCAGTCAGTCTCTCTCTTTCTCTCTCTCTCTCTCTATATATATATATATTGGTTGTTCTTGTTGTTTATTTAGGTGATCGATTTTGTGTATTGCACATCGTGACTGGGAAGACAGAGAAATTTTCTGATTTAAACGCAAAGAAATTCTTGCGAAAACTAGAGGAATTCTCTAAACTAGGATCTAGAGAAATTCTCTAGCCTTCTCAGAATTTCTCCGGAGAGAAATTCTCTAGGAAAAAGTTCTCTAGGAAGTCTAGAGAAATTTTTTAGATCGAATTTTCTCTGGATCAATGTTGAGGGGCTTAAGACGTTATAAAAATATTAGATGCTATTTATGTTATAAAATCTTAATACCACGACCTTAAAAAAAAACCCCCAATTATTACTATAAAAAAAAAAGATTATTTTTTACAAGATCTTTTTAAAATGTTCTCTACAAAAAAGAGCTATCAACATGGATTTCGTTAGCCAGTTGGGCTCCTTATTGGGGTTTTGGCCTATGAAATTGATATCTGATTGATTTAATTTTTTTATAAAATAAATCTTTTTGGTATGTTCAAAATAGATTGTTTGAATCTTTTACATAAGCTACCACCGAGGGTGGTGGCCCAGTGGTGAAGGCATTGCCTTCACACAGCTATGAGTCAAGTTCGACTCCTGGGGGCGCGAAAATTCTGAATTTTTCAGGGACTCTCTGCGGAGACTTCGTGCTGTACTCCGATCGAAACTTGGCCCTAACTGAAGCGGTTGATGAGCTCCATTGGTATCTCGGTGGTGGGTCCCTTCCTTTAGGTTGGATTAAATCAGGCTGGCAACCGGCTACCCCGGGACCTGAGCCCTAACTGAAGCGGTTGATGAGCTCCACTGGTACCTCGGTAGAGGGTCCCTTCCTTTAGGTTGGGTTAAATCAGGCTGGCAACCGGCTACCCCGGAACCTGAGCCTACGGATATAGCGATGACACCTCAGAACATTCTTTTTTACTGTTAAAAAAAAAAGAAAAAACAAAAGATCTTTTTCATAAGCTCGAAGTGAATCCTTGTACAAAACTCACTCTTATGAATGACAAGGGGTAGGATATAGGTTAGGGCCCTACTCCACTCCTACTTTTGCTGCTTGCCCTCATAGCATAATAAAAAATTTAACAATAATATTAAAATTCAATAATTAAAACTAAAAAATAAGGGGGATGCACCAATAAATCCCAAATTTGTATCTTATAACCCATTTGGTCCTATGAATTTTCTTATGAACCGTTAGGTCCTATCCCAATGTTAATGACCATTAAACATCAAACATCATCATCGTCAAAACAACAACATCATCATCAAAACAACATCAAACATCACAACATCATTATCAAAACAACATTAAACATCACAACATCATCATCAACATCAAACATTATTATCATCAAACATCATCAACATCAGATTTATTTTCAAAAAAATTAAAATTATTGCTCGAGAACCATCATCAAATTCATTATAACATCAAATCCATCAGATTAAAAGAGAGAAACAGTGTAATTTTTAAAAAGTGAACAAAAATTGAAGGAAATGCAAAACATATTATACACAAGAAATTGAACTACTTCACAATCTTTAAAGATACAAAAATCTATGAGGAATAATACCCATAAAACATATCTCTAGAGAGAGAGAGGGGGAGGCAATAATAATAAAATACCCTTGGGGATAAACATTGCCATAGATTGGGAGAACAACAGAGGACCCAACTGGGTTGACGACCGACGAAGAAAACATTGATTTCCACCACGACTTCTTGTTGCTGATTTTCATAACCTGATCCTGATGTTGATGTTGATGGAGGAGATGAAACAGAGACACCCAAAAGCATAGCTACTACTACCATCACCAACATAACCACCCCGCCGCCTAGGGTTTCACGATCTGAGAGAGAGATGGGCAATGGTTCTGTCTGAGAGAGAGAGGGGCAACGACCCTACCCTCGCCTTTGTCTAGACCCACACCGCCGCCGTACAAATGAACCACCACCACCGCAGCCGTATCGACGCTGCCAACAACCTCCTTCCCTTGCCCTAGACAACGATTTGAAGAAGAAGATGATCGTCGTAGAAGAAGAATCATGGATCTGTCTGTTGGGGAGTTGATTAGGGCTCGTATTGATTCGATCTGATTTGAACATCTCTGAAGAACATCATGATGTTGATGATGTTCACATATTTTTTTTTTTTTTTGGATGATGTTTTGTTAATGTTTGATATTATCGATTGGTGCAGTTAATGTTGCTAATGTAGCTAATGTTTTGATGATGTTAATGATATTGATGTTGTTGTTGATGTAGATAGTGGGACTAAATGGTGCATAAGAAAATTTGTAGGACTAAATGGTTTAACTTTCTACCACATAGGATTTACTGGTAATTTTTCCAAAAAATAATATTTATAATTAAAAAAATATATTACATATTATACATTTATTAAAATTATATTATAACATAATAGAAACTCAATAATTCATTATATAGATATTATATATATTCTATAAAAATTCAACAATACACTGTACACATATCACATATATATGTAATATTATTATTTATTTATTTATTTATTTATCATTATATTTGTAGGCCAGGTAGTATTCGGATTAAAAAAAAAAATACTCTCCCTTTACCCTTAATTCAATAGAATTTTTCAAAAATTTCTCTAAATCCGACCCTAAATACTCTCCCTTTACCCTTAATTCAATTGAAATTTTCAAAAATTTCTCTAAATCCGACCCTATCTTATTTAACTACTTCCGAATCTATCCTATGAAAGATTGAGAGAAGTCAAGACTCGAGGAATAAAGTATTTTGCCATCCCTACTCACTCAACCCAAACCCTATCAAAATTGGGTTAGCTAAGTGACCTAACAAACCAAGTAGGCTTAGAGAATTATTTTATTTTATTTTATTTTTTCTTTGTCCGTTCAAAAAAAAAAAAGAAAAAAGAAAAATACCTAACTGTGCATTAAATACGTTAGAGCATCCTCATCAAACTCAGTAAAATCATTTTTTAGCTAATAAATTTCAAAAAACCAAGTTCATCAAACTCGTTTGCAGCTTGCTGAAATTTATGTTTGCTACAGTATCTCGCTACAACAAGTAAGGTACTGTTCATCACTAAAATAGTGTTATCGGGACGTTCAGTCGGTCAACTAGTCAATGAAATTTTATTTATTTTTACATTTTTTAAGAATTATTTGGCTGATAACTTATCAATTTAATAAAAAAAAAGAAAGATTAACAAACATAATAAGAAAATAATATGTTAATAAGATGAAGTTAGAATAGAGTGTTTGATGCAGTAAGTACAAAGAGGTGACTAATTAAAATAGTAAAATAGCTTTAATTTGACTAAAAATTTGAAGAAGTTGATGTGGATGCTTTTAGAATGTGGAAAAGGCCCAAAGTATTAAAGAATCTGCGGTAAAAATATGAAAAAATAAAATAAGTTATTTTAACTTGATTAGTAACTAAATACTAAAATTTTGTTTGAAATTAATTTTAAATATATTTAAAAAAATATCCACACACACAAAAAAAAATTTAAAAATTTATTAATTTTAAGTTAGCTCGAACTTTAATCAATAAGTTTATATATACTACTAAATGATTGTATAAAAAGTCAAATTATTATTGATTTCATTGAATATACTACTAAATGATTGTATAAAAAGTCAAATTATTATTGATTTCATTGAAATTCATTTGAGGTAACTTTTAAAAATAAATAAAGGATAAATTAAACGATATGTCCTTCTAGTTTAAATAAAATTTCACTTTCATCCACACCTTTCAATTTTGTTCAATATCTTGGTTTAATTTTATTCAATCTTTTAATTTCTGTCAAAATTGAAACCACATTAAAAAAAATTTATTATCCAACTTCTAAAATATCTTGGACTAAACTAAGTTTACTCCGATTGATCAATTGGATCCTAAATTTTACCAAACCTAAAGAGAGGTCGTGGAATTTACCCGATTTAATTTGATTTTTTAGTAAAATCATGCTGAGAGAGGTCTAAAAACTCTTCATAATAGAAAAAAAAAAAAGAAGAGAAAAAGAAAAAGAAAAAAAGGAAAAGAAAAAAGATATGAAATATTTGCGGTGGTAAGGAAGCATGAGAACCAAGTTTAGGGATTGTTTGGAATGTGCTGTATTAATATATTTTTTGAATTTTTTTATAAAAAAATTTAAAATATAAATTAAATTTAAAGTGATATAATTTAAATAAAATAATTATACTTGAAATAAAATAATATATGAACCAAGTTTAGGGATTGTTTAGGATGTACAGTATTAGTATATTTTTTGAGTTTTTTTTAAAAAAAATTTAAAATATAGATTAAATTTAAAATGATGTAATTTAAATAAAATAATTATACCTTAAATAAAATAATATATTAGAATAACATGACCTATTTTAGCACAAGTGCGGTTTCGTTACGATACAAAAAAACAAATTAAAAAAAAAAAAATAATCTGGGTGGGTTTGTGCTGTTGTTGTGCCTTTTCCAAGGGTCAGGGAGATGTATACAAGAGGTCTTGAATCATCCAGAAACACACACACAAAAACAAAACAAAAAAAAAAACCCGGTGATTCCGCACCTACGACGACGAAGAACATGCTATTCACGCATCGATTCATCTCCGATCCTTCCTCGCTTTAAGGTTCTCGCTCTTCATCTTCCTTCACATCCTCAGGTAATCTATTCTTCACAAATATTCATATATATGCTTTGGCTGCCCTGTTGTTTTCTGTGTGTGTGTGTGTGCGTGCGTGTTATATGAATTGTTGATTTATGCAAAAGTTTTTTTTTTCCTTAGGTGTTTTCGTTGAATTTTTAGCTGTTCGATTGATAATTGAGGTTCGAATTGGGTATAGGAGGTTTTTGGATTTCTCTGTTTTGTGTTTTGGCGTAGGAGCTGATTAGGATCTTTGTATAGGTGCCGAGGGTTTCGAATTTGGATCCAGTCTTGTTTTTTCGGATTTGAATTTGGGTTTCAAATTTCAATAGCTTCAGTTCCACGCCTTTATTTGTTTCTTTTTGAATTTGATTCATGCGCTTTGATTTTGATATTTGTTTGCTTTTTTTATGAGAAGGGTGTGGAACGGAAAAGGACATGGAACTCTGAAGTACATGGTTTTGGTTGTTTTTGATTCGCATCAGACTAGGCTTTGTGGGTCTCAATTACCCAAAATTCAATCATTGAAATAATTTATTTATGTATTTATTTATTTATTATTTTTTCCTATAACTTTTCACTGCTGCTAATTAGTTATGCATGGCATGGTTTTGTGTATGATTAAGATGGAAATTCTTTAAAATTAGTTGAATTTTTTTGATGATGCAGAGTTATGCCGACGTTTACAGCAATAGCTTTGGATAGGTTGATTGAACCAGGAGCTTCGAAATCCATGACAACTGCGAAGAATATTCCTGATTCGAAATTGGAGAGGAGAAACGATATTCCTAATGTGAAGATAGAGAGCGGAATGAATACTCCTAACTCTAGGCTCGATAGGAGAAATAGTGCGTCAATGACGATGATAGATAAGAAGAATCATTGGACTCAGATAACTCCAGCTCTTTATGCCACCCCCGTGTCAAAACCACTTCCTGATTCTCCGTCTTCATTCCCTCCATCACCCTATATCATCAATCACAAGAGGCGTGGGCCACGTCTTCTCAAGAGTTACTCTGAGGATGATGTTGCTGCTCGCAAGCAAGCTCTAGATGCAGAGAAGATAGATGAAAACACAAAAAATGCAGAAAAGAAGGCTACTGATTTGTCCAGGGATGTTACTTTTACTGTTAATGTTTCTAGCCCTATTGAAGAGGAGCATGTGAATGGCATTTGTGATGGGGAACTTGGTACCAGTGATTTGGGAGACAGTTTGGCGACACAAAATGGTTCAGCTGTGAAACATGGTTCAACGAAGACAATTGCGCTCAATTTGGAAGAAGGTGGTGAGCTTGACGATTTCCTTGATCCACAGGACTCGGTGAGTGTTACAAGCAACACTGAAGGAGAGTACAATAGTGGGGTGGAACGGTCTTTGCATCTCGCTACACCAATGGCTGAGTTTTATGATGCTTGGGAAGGTACTTGTTCTTTACTTCCAATATAATATGTATTTTGTTCTCTCTTTGCTGCTTCTGGTATTATTAATATTTTTACATATCTTTGTGTGCCATCTTCTCTTTTTTTTTTTTTTTTCTTTTTTTTTTTTTTTTTTTTTTTTTTCGGGTTGCCTGTCAGTAGAGGTATAAAACTATAATTGAAGACACAATATTCACCAAAGATATGCATAGGTTCAAATTATGTATTGCCATATTTGAAATGTCTTTAGTTTACTGTCCAATCCCCCACTGTCCCTTCAAATATTACTTTCATGACTTGGATAATTTAAGCATTGGTATTATCATTTTTTTTTTTTTTTTGATAAATAAAACCAATCTTATTAAGAACGCATCAAGCTGATGCAAACAAATACAGAAATGCCATCCCCAATTAGGGGAAACTAACCATAAACAAAGCTAACCAATCACATCTTCTAGAAAATCCAAAAAAACAAATGTGCCCGGATCAACCTTCCTCTCCAACCAACTATACATAACCACTAAAAGATGATTTTGTAACCAAGCAACCCATGAGCAACGTCTAAGAAAGTACGCCGATTTCGCTCCAACCAAACAAGCCACATCAAACAAAACGGCGCCAACACCCAAACCCGTTGCCGGCGATGCCCAAACCTAACACCCCTCCACGCCCAAAGCATATCCAACACCCCCTTCGGTTGAACCCAAGCAATCCCAAAAAGAGAACAAATGAAACCCCACAATTGGGAAGCCACCAAACAATGAAGAAACAAATGATCCACCGATTCAGTAGCACGACAACACACGCAACACCGATTCACTAAAACATGACCACGCCGCATTAAGTTGTCCAAAGTAAGATTTCGTCCTAAAGCGGCCGTCCACATAAAGAAGACCACTTTAGACGGAACATCCAGTATCCAAACACTATTCCAAGGAAAAGCAAACCCATCATCCCCTACCAAACCCTTATAGAAAGATGCAATTGAAAACTGCCTCTTTGCCCCCACCCCAATCCACTCCATAACATCGTGTCCCCTCCCATTTATTCCCATCCCATATAAAACAGCCCACAACTCTACCAACTGAGCAACCTCTCAATCATGCACCGCACGCCGCAACTGAATATCCCACACCACCATATCGCCACCCCCTAAATAAGATGCCACCGTCGCCTCCCTATCAACCACAATATGAAAAATCAACGGAAAACGGACCTCCAGAGACTCCCCCCCACACCACCTATCCTTCTAAAACCGCATCCGCAACCCATTGCCCACCCTAAACCCTACCCACCTCCAAAACCCTACAATCCATTGCCCACCCTAAACCTTACCCACCCCCAAAACTCCTCCCGACCCAACCAAATCTCTTTCCAAAGCCCACAGCCATGCATAGTGAGCTCATCCCCCAAAATCCAATTCCCTCTCCCCACCCCATATTTAGAAGCCACCACCCTTCGCTAGAACCTGTCCGCCTCCAAGGCAAACCGCTACAACCATTTCCCTAACAAAGTTTTATTAAAAGTCACCAACTGCCTCACTCCCAACCCCCTTGTTTGCTTAGGTTGACAAATCCTCCCCCACTCAACCAGATGATACCTAATTTCATCAGCACTACTACCCCACAGAAAATCCCTCTGAAGCTTCTCCAACCGATGCGTCACTGATATGGGAATAACATGGACTGACATAAAGTAGGTTGGAATACTGCTCAACACACTCTTAATCAACGTCAAACATAACAAAACACACTACAAATGACCCACCTGCTCCACATCAGCCCCGTAGAAAATCAGAGTGTCATCCGCATATAATAAATGAGATACAACAAGAGACGCCCCAGACAACGATCCCACAACAAAGCCCCCCAGGAGACCCCCACGCACAGCTCTATCCAACAATCTACTCAACGCCTCCATCACTAAAATAAATAACAGAGGTGACAACGGATCCCCCTGCCGAAGGCCCTGATACATCGGAAAAACCCTTGCTAGAGATCCATTAATCAAGACAGACATCCGCACAGTCGAAACACAGAACTTAATCCAACGGCACCAAGTACAAGAGGAAATCCCAATTAATGTTGTCATATGCCTTCTCAATATCCGATTTGCAAATCAAACCGGGTCGTTGTTGTCGAATCCGAGAATCCACACTCATTGGCAACCAACACAGCGTCCAAAATCTGCCTGCCTCCTACAAACGCATTATGAGACTCAGACACCACAGCCTTTAAAACCCCTCTAAGTCTATTAGCTAGAACTTTAGCTAATATTTTAGACACACTGCCTAACAAGTTAATAGGCCAAAAGTCATGAACATTCTCAGCCCCCCCCCCCTTTCTTTGGGATCAAAGCCAAAAAAGTTGCATTAAAACTTTTTTCAAATTGGCCAGATCGGTAGAAAGCTTTAAAGTTGCCATCACATCCCCCTTCATCACACTCCAACAATGCTAGAAAAAAGCCAATGAGAAGTTATCTGGACCTGGAGCTTTGTCACCACTCATGGCTAGCAAAATCCCAAACACCTCATCCTCCGTAAAAACACACACCAAACGCTCCTTATCCTCCCCCGAAATTATATCAAACTAAACCCCTTCCAAGCTTGGTCGCCACTCCCCCTCTTGTTGTCAAAACAAATTTTGATAAAAACCTACAATTCTTTCCCGAATCTCTGGATCCGCACAAAGCTCTCAACCATCCACCCACATCCTAGTAATTTGATTAACCCGCTGATGTGCATTCGCCATCTGATGAAAAAATTTCGTATTTCGATCCCCATCCTTCAATCACAAACATCTAGATTTTTGTCTAAAGGACACCTCCTCCATGCGAAAAATACGAACAAAGTCCTGTCTGACAGCTTCCTTCCGAATACTATCAGTAGTGGACAAACCCCCTTGCGCCTCTAACTCATCAAAGGCCCGGAGTGAAGACACCACCTCCGCTTTTTGACCCTCTAATCGGCCAAACACTTCTTTATTCCAAATCTTCAAATCTCCCTTGAGCCATTTCTAGAAGAACCAGAAATGACATAACTATTCCACCAACCACGCGCCACATCCAAAAAACTCTCTGTTTGCAGCCACATATTCTCAAACCGAAATGGCGTAGAACCACAACGAATCCCCCCACTATTAAGCACAATAGGCCAATGATCAGACACTGGGCGAGGAAGACGTAATTGGATAGCCTCCGAAAAATGCTCCTCCCATCCCCCAGTCACCAAAAAACGATCAATACGAGACATCCTTTGCCCATTTGACCATGTGAAGCTACCTCCCTGAATAGGTAAGTCAAACCAACTGCAAAGTATCAATCAAAGAACAAAAAGACCTCATGGACCCCGAGACCCAATTGGTCCCCGACCTCTCCGATGGCCATCTAATAACATTAAAATCTCCCCTGACACACCACGGAACATCCCATCGAAACGCCATAGTCTCCAATTCCTCCAGAAACCCTCCCTGCTCCGAATGCTGCATCAGACCATACACCACAGTGAAGGTCCACCGAAAACCATCCTCCACGCATCGAAACAAACAGGACATCGAAAAACTCCCCACCTCCTCCTCATCTCTCACCACTACCCTCTTATCCCAGCAAAGAAGAAGCCCCCTTGCCGTCCCAACAGACGTTAAAAATGGCCATTCCACAAACCGGCTCCCCCCCATACCTCCTGAATCAACTCCAGTCTCAACTTCTCCATCTTTGTTTCTTGTAGACACACTACATCCACCTTGGCTTCACGCAACACAACCTTCACTGCCACCCTTTTATCCTTGTCATGCAAACCCCGCACATTCCAAGATAAAATTTTTAGCTTCATTCCAACAACAGTGGTCCCCTACGCTCTCTTCTAGCTCCCCGTCCGACATTCTGCCTCCCATTATCATAATTAACAATACACTCCAAGTTCTTGAGCTCCCGGTGCCTTTTACTGGGGGAAACAAACGGTGTACCCACTCCCGAACTAGGAGCCCCTTGCCGCCAAGATGCTTCTACTGTTGCAAATAATCACATAGCCTCCTCTTCATGGCCCTCAAACGACAAACCCAGACAACGACTGACTTCCCCAATGCGCTCCAACACCCAATTCGACATTGCCTCAGAAGATGGAACCTCCGGCCCATCCAACCCACCGCTGTTCTGGATCATGTTTTGATGTTGTCCTAGCAAATCTTCTGACCACAAGGGGTTGGAGTACCAAAGCCAGCCCATCAGTACTGGGAAGCTCACTCTGTTCAACACAATTTGCCCAAGAAACACCCTTTAGCGCCGCCATAGCTGGATCGACCTCACCATCTTTAGCTTCCGAGCTCGCCGTCTGAGAACCAAGTCCACCCTCCTCCGCCAACCGCCGTGACCCTAGATCGTCACCGACGGATTCGCGATAGACCACCAACTCCGTACCCAACTGCGTGTTAGACGAACGACGCTGTGTATCGACAACGATCATCTCCGCCCAACCCGACTCTCCTGGATTCGCCGCAGCCATATCAACGCATCCATTTCTTGTGACAACCCGACCCACTCCAGCAATAGGGGAATTGACTTGGGGTAACCCAATTTTGCCCAAATCAGGCCCCTTTGGGCTTAAGTGACGAGCTGAAGAACTCGCCCCATTAGTCTCACAGGCCCAACCCGGCACTCCTTTATTCTTTGCCACAGCCCAAGCTTTGCGGCCCACAGTTGTACGCACAGCGACTTGGGCCTGCACCAAGCCCAACTGACCCCTTTGAGGCCCCCGTGATTGACCCACACCATGACCCACTAGATTCGAATGACCACGCTCCACCCTAAATCTATTCAGATACTCCTCCTTCCCCGAAATCCCTTGAACTTTGCGACCTAACTACTACAAATCCGCCCTTACCTTATGTGACCCAAATCCCCCTGTAATTTTGGCCACCGGCGACCGCAGCTCTACGAGCAAGTTTTCCTCCACCCATACCGGCAACGAGAACTGCCACATCCCCCGACAAACGGAAACTCGCTACGGAATATGGTCAGACTGCTGCACCCGCAGTCGAATACCACCCAAATCCACCGAGGATTCATCCGGGTCCACAAAACCACCGCACCGATCACCAATAGCACGATACACCTCTTTCCCACGGAGATGAATAGGAAGCCCCACCACCCAAATCCAGATGTTTTCCCCCGGCAGCGACAACTTCCCCAAAGTACTCATAGCCAATGGTGACCACCATTCCAACAAAAGATCAAGGCCACCCATTGTCCACCGTTGACATGCCGTCGCCTCCGCCTCACTCCTATTTGGGAAGACAAACAAGAAAGCCTTCTCCCCTAGCAGTCTAACCTCCACCGGCCCCACTTGGCTCCACCACCAACCTACCCAATCCGATATAGCTGCAAAGCTCATGCCCTTACCACTTCGCCCCCCCACCCTGCCCACCAAAGCTGTGTCCAACAACCAAAACCAATCAACCTCCACCTGAGTGTGAACCACCGCTGCAATCTGACGATTAGCCAATGACGAAGTAGCAGAAGTGGATGACAAGTGATTCGGAGCTCCAGGATGTACTACCGTCCCCTTAATCATTCCAAAGCCTTCAATGACCAATGCCACCCCCACCTAGCCATCCCCAAAGACAGACACAGGAATAAAGATCTGGTTCCGCCGCTGACCGATCGTCACCACTATTTGAAATGACAACCCAGCACCTTTCTCACCACGAACCCATATGGCTACAGAGCGATTACCCCCACTGAGGCGGCCTAGGAATTTCAGAATATCTGGTGCACTAGGACTATCATCACAATCATAATTTTGTTACTTCTCTGCAATATTGTGACTCACCTGCTTTTCTTGCTTGCTTTAGAATTATCCTGCGTGGAACGCATTACTTGAGCATTGTCATTAGCATCAACCATTGCATTGTTTATGCACTATGAGTAACATCACATTCACAATTTGTTACTGTTTTAATATTGTGGCTCACCTGCTTTTCTTGCTTGCTTTAGAATTATCCACTGAGAGTGGGCCACAGCCTTCTCCACATGATGTTCAAGCTGAATTGCGTGAAATAAGGTTGAGTTTATTGATGGAGATAGAGAAGCGGAAGCAAGCAGAAGAAGCCCGAGATAATTTGCAAACCCAATGGATGAGGATTCAGCAACAGTTGTCTCTTGTAGGGTTGACACTCCCTGCAAATCCCATTGCTGCAGCCGAGGATGAACAACTGGGTGTTGATCATGCAGAAGAGCTTTGTCGTCAGGTATATCTTGCTCGGTTTGTGTCGCATTCCATTGGGAGGGGTACTGCAAAGGCTGAGGCTGAGATAGAGATGGAAGACCAGTTAGAGTCAAAGAACTTCGAGATAGCTAGGTTATGTGACAGATTGCATTACTACGAGTCTGTGAATCGGGAGATGTCCCAGAGGAACCAGGAAGCTATAGGTGAGGTTTCTTCTTCTTCTTCTTCTTCTTCTTAATCCCTCCTGTTTTATTTTTGGGGGTGGGGAGATATTTAGATTCTTCACTTATTTATGAATTTTATGGAGGGTTATTTTTTTTACTGTCTTAGAAGTTTACTTCTAGTGATATTCCTAAATGTTCTCTGTTTATTTTTATTTTTTTATTTATTATTATTATTTGCATATCTTCCTCTTTGAATTTTCATTTCTTTTTTCTGAGTTGTAGTCCGGCTTATAAATAGTATGGGTGCTAGCAACATAGGTGGAGCTACATGACGATGAGAAAAATTCCCCTCACATCATAGTGTGCTCAAATGCCCCTCTCATCAGAGTAGTGTACTCTAATGAATGGTTGGTTCTGTGACAGTCTTGGAGAAAAATCCCAGCATGCCTGCCTTGTCATGGTGTGAGAATAGTTCAATGAATTTGCTTTTTGTGTGTGAGGGAAAAATTTCCAGTAGGCTGAACCTTAGTGCAGTCAAGGATATGGGGCATTTTGTGTGGGACATTTTTCCCTTGCCTTGCCCTGATGTGTGTAATGTCTGCAAGCAGTGAGTGGCCTTGTTTGTCTGGCTTGTTAGGCCTTATGGATTTCGGCATATAGTTGGGCAATTGTTACCATTCTGCAAATATTGATTTCCACCCCTTCCTTTTTCATCCATTCTTGGTTTCCCTTTTCTAGAAATACATTTTTGTAAGAAATTGAGAAGAAAATAAGTGAGATACGATTAGATACGAAGTCTGCACCAAATTAATTTTATATACATTAAGCAGGTGGAAGTGTATATTTTTATTGTTTTTTGTTAAAACTTTTGTTAATGTAAGAAACCTTACTTTTAAGTAGATAAAGAGAAGTTATTATCTCTGAAGGTTTGACTTTTAGATTTTCGGTCATTTTTATCATATGTTTTTTTAGTTTTAACCATAGTTTAGGCATGTCAAAATATTTAGGTAAGGGTTTGCACCACTTTGGCTTGCATGCATGCATGCAGGCAACACAGCTCTAATTTTCCCCAGTTTTTTTTACCTTGTGTAGAGACAGCACGGCGTCTTAGGCAAAGGAGGAAGAGAAGGCAGAGGTGGGTTTGGGGTTCAATTGCTGCTGCAATTACACTTGGCACCGGTGCCTTAGCATGGTCTTACCTTTCAACTGGAAAAGGATCGGCATCTTCCACCAGCAAATCCATTGCTCCAGAGCATGACCCTGCAGCAGCCAAGTGATGAGCTCCTGATCAAATAAGCAGTTGAATACAATGTCATAGAAGAAAAAAAAAAAATAAGTGAGCAAGAGGTTTAATATGCCATCTTGTGAATACGAATACATTACTTTTTTTTGTTGGTTGCATAGTTTCCTACTTCCAAGGATGTATAGTTGCATCGTAATAATTATTCAAGGTTGTACCTTATGCTGTCAATCTGGAATGAGGTGATGAATCCATCATATATTGGATCGTTGATTTAATCAGGTTTTCTTGTGCTCTTCTTCTGTGCCATCGAGGTCCCATGCAATTAAAATGAGCACAAGAATGAACGGAATCAGATCAGCTGGGGTGGTCTCTGAGTGCCACCAAAACCGTGTATCAGGTTTACTAACAAGAGAATGCATTTTTATCTTATATTATATGTTGTTTATTTTGCATCATGGTTCATAATTCAGGTTTGTTGGACTTTCTTGACCTTAGATTTTTGATGTTGTGTTTCTCTGTGTGCCACAGGTCTGTGGTGTCCGTGTCACTGACCTGGAAGCAATGACCACCTGATAGTGCTTACGGGCATGGTAAAGCTGAAGTTTTGGATTGTAATAAAGCATGAAGGAGTAAAAATTTGTTCATTTCGGGAAAGTAATGAAATATGATTTTGTCGTTCAGCTTGCAGGATAGCGCTATCAGGTCTCTAATGTATTTATTCCCTTTCCAACGCTCTTCAATCTTCACTTCTATTATTTTGATTCTTTTTGGTACAAAATCTTCACCTCTACTGCCTCACAGTTGCTTCCAGTGATAGTGTGGTTATAGAGCAGACAAGTCCGATTCATTAATCCAAATTTGATCAGGTTTTTTGATCGAAGAGCATGATTCTAACTTGAATGTTTCTAAGAATATGCCTGAGTGAGTGTTGTGGTTGGATTGTAGTTTAGAAACTTTGTTTATCATCTGCTGATGTTTGAAGTATGCAAGTAACACGTTACGATCTGCTCAAAAAAAAAAAAAAAAAAAAAAAAAAACACATCATGATAATCACGGAGTATCACTCAATTTCTTTTATCAATTCAGTTTTGAGGATTCATTTCCCTTTTTTGTTTTTCCCATTAAAATTGTGAGCAATGGCGGAGGGATTTGTTGAAAGTAAAAAAGAAAAAGTGAACAATTGCTTTTTTTCTTCTCCACAAATTTTTCTTCAAATTCTTTATCTAAACATAGTCTTCAATTTATTATTAGATACGGATAGTGTATTATTAGCTGCGTGTAGGGGTGTAACTCGGGTGGATTTGGTTAGGTTGGGAGGTTGTCTAAACATAGCCCAAGTTGTGTTGAGATTTGCCCAGGCCTGTACAAACCCGAATTGTAACCTGAGATTACATGTCCAAGCCCGACCTGAGCTAAATCCGAATTGTATTTATTTTATTTTATTTTTTGTGGTTACATTATTAAATTATTAAAATTTAACTCTATTTACATTTTATATATATATACAAAATTATTAATACCATCCAAACAAATAATTTATATAATGTAACTATAATAGTCTTTACAATTTATAAGTGAAAAAAAAAAGTAAAATTTTATGTTATTTGTATATATAATATACGTTCAATATGATTTAATAATCTAAATTATTTTAATATCATGTAATGGTAAATAATTTATATATATATATATATATTTAATATCTTTATATATCTTAGTACTGCAAAATACATATATTATTAGTAGAAAGGTTTTGCAAAAGCTAAGTTCTTTAGCAAGCAAAATTTTATAATTCACACTTGAAAACGTAAATATATATATTTAATTATATTCAAACAGATATTTGATTGTGTCTTTTAATTATAATAATCTATCGTGATAAATCTCAAAGGGTGTGTATTGTAAAACAAAAGTATTACACAAATTCAGCCGATAAATGTAACAGGGTTGTTATTTCTGTGTTAAATGAATAAATTTGACTAGGGTCCGTTTGGAAAGAATTAAAATAGATTTTTTTGATTATTTTAACCATCAAAAATAAAATAAGTTATTTTAGTTACAAAAAACAAAACATCATATTCAACTCATAATCATTACACTCTTCTCTCATAAAAAAAATCAAAAAAACCAAAAAATAAAAATCTCTTCCCAAATCAAATTTTTAATCCAAATTAAAATAGATAAAAAAAATTAAAAAGGCAAAAATCAACCTACATTCCAAACGGATCCGAGATTTTAATAAAAGCGGTACAAAGTTATGCGAAGATCTGAAATCAGCTAAAATTGCCTTGGTAATAGCGTCAATGAATTGTTATCTAGCACCAATCAATCAATAATTGAAACAAAAATTGGAAACTAGGATAGACTAGAGGGAGCAGAGAAGTAGTGAGTGAAACTGCAAAAAAACAGCAGTGGAGTGGAAGAAGAGCAAGAAGGAAGAATGGAGGTTGGCATCTATCTCCACCTTCATCACTATAACCATCAGCATCTTCCAAGGTCTATCCATGGCTGTTCTTACTCTCATTTCAACACAGTCGTCCTCGACAATTCTCTTCTCCTCCGCCGCCAATTCCCCTTCCGCGACACACAGTTCCATGTCAAGGCCACTTCGACTTCCAGTAGCAGCACTAGTAATTCTAGTCGTATTAGACCTGAGAATCGGCATACGAACAGAAAGCCCTTTTTGGACAATAATCACCGAAGACCCCAACTATCTGCACAAGAAGAAGAAGGAGATGATGAAGATGAGGAGGAGGAGGAAGAGTATGATTTTGACCTAGCTGAATCTGTAGCTGCAGCGACGAGGGGGAGGAAGAGGAGCTCTTCATCGTTGATTGAAGAAGAGGATGAGGACGAGGCTTCGTACTCTTTGTCATTGAGCGAGAAGCCGGACAGGAACATGACCTTGCTCGACGATTACGAGATGGAGGAACTCGATTCTCTCCCCGACCCTAACCATCGGAGCGGTTCGTTTTCTCACTTCTCCACCGCTGCAATCTGACGATTAGCCAATGACGAAGTAGCAGAAGTGGATGACAAGTGATTCGGAGCTCCAGGATGTCCCTCGCGTATTTCTCTCTGATTCTTACAACATCGCTACTAGATAAATGTTATTTTTGTTGTTGTTTTTGCTGCTTCGATTTTCAAACTTACAAGTTTTTTGGAGAATAAAACGTGCCTGGAAAAAATTAATGAGTGAAATGAGATACCAAATGAAGCAATCAAAATTAACAAATACTACAGCACTTTTTCCAAGCTTGTATAGTATAGAGCATCTCCAAATACTTCAATTCTTTCATCAAATTTAAATTTGAAAGATAAAGAACTAAAAGTGAGCTCCAATCATTTCATCAAACTTGTATTTTATCAAATCAAGGGAGAGACAAATTCTTCACCAAATTCCCAACGTTCATACTTTTACTCAAATTTGATGAAATTTTAAAAATAAAATGGTTAAAACATGTGTTTAGGATAAGTTTTTTTTTTTTTTTTTTTTTTTTTTTTCAAAAAAGATTTCATGAAAAAAATACTAGGATTGGAGTGTTCCAACCAGATTAAACTCTTAACCAAATTTTCTCTCAAATTTGATGGAAAAAAGATTAGTAAGGATTGGAGATGCTCTTATCCATGATTCTTTTGTTAACTTTTCTGTGTTAGCTTAGCTAACTGTCATGTTTTGTGGCGGAAAATGCAGGATATGTGGCTGTACTCGGAAAGCCAAATGTTGGAAAGAGTACACTTTCAAACCAAATGATAGGACAAAAGCTCTCAATTGTTACGGACAAACCTCAAACTACAAGACACCGAGTGCTTGGTATATGTTCTGGTCCAGAGTATCAGGTTTGATATTTTCTATGTAAAATGTGCTCGTGAGTTGTGGCTAATTTTAATGTGGCTGTTAATATTCTTGGTTTGCTTTCAAGTTTCACCAAACAACTAAGCAATAACATTTAAGAAAAATTGGGACCCCCTCCTTCATTCATCGTCACTCATTCTAAAAAGCTTCCACCGTTGGGTTTTAGTGTTTGGAAGACTAGAAATTGGCTTGGCACCCCCTCCTTCAATCATCGTCACTCATTCTAAAAAGCTTCCACCGTTAGGTTTTGGTGTTTAGAAGACTAGAAATTGGCAATGATAGTTTGGAAACAATACTAGCCTCTATTTTGCTGTTAAAATAACTATTGAGCGAAGCAGATAGAATTGTGACTTGCTTACTAGACGATTCTTGTATCAAAGAGCATTCCAGTTATACATCTAACCTAAAAGAAGACCTTCACATTTGGTATAACTAGGACAAACAGAATTACTATTAGTTGTCTTTTACATATAGTAATTATTGTATTTACTAGTGTTCTGAACAATTTATTATAAGACTTCCTTTCACAAATGTCTGGAAATCTTGACTAGGATCTGACTACCAGCCTAGTTTTAATACACTGATAGCTTATCCTGCAAAATAACAGAAATGAAGAACAAAATCAGAATGTCCAAGGTGTAGTGCAGGATGAATTGGCTTAAGTATGGAATTACCAATATGGTTAAGTAACTTCTGTACTTAAAAAAGAATTTGGAAGAACTTTTAAGCTTGCACTTGCTTTTGCTATTGTGTTTGGGCTTCCTATGAGAAACATTGCTTGGGCCTTCCTCGGGGAAACTGGATTAAGCTGAATGTTTATGGAGGTCTAAATTCAAGCTTGGGTCTGCTAGAGCTCAAGGCCTTATAGAGGTGAAGATGGGTGGTTTTTCTTATTGGGATGTAAGGCATTATGCTTCTGTAGATCTATTGGATTTACTTCAAGGTTTGTAGTTGGAGGGGTTGGGCAGTGCGGCCTATCCTTTTTGAAGCCCCAAATGCTTCGAGAAGGATAAATGCATAGCATTAACTTTGGTAAACTTGTACTTGGAGTCTAGGATCGATGGGCCTTCACATAGGTTGTAATGACATCAAAGTAGATGAGAATGACTTGACCTTCAGGGATCAACCCTCAGTCAGGAGGGTTACTCTCCGTACCTTGATTATCCCAGCGAGTCACGAGGAGTTCCTTGTAGCTCAGTGCAGGATCATGGTGTGGCTCTTAGATTGTGTCATGATCCTAGCTGCGATGTGGGCATAATGTGGCTTGGTGGGTAAGTACAAGGGCTTGTTGAGGTGGAGACAATGCCCTTGCCTCAACTTGCTCGGGGTATCAATAGCATCTCTGCTTTAACCTAGCAGTTCGGAGAGGGAATCTTAGCATGTGGTCCTCTAGGGAAGTGGTGTCTCCTCAACAATTACTTGGCTTCCAATTTTACAACTTTAAATAACTAATGTATCTCTTTCAGCAAGTACACACATTACTATGCCTAATAAATTGGTGCATCACCATCTTGATGCCTAGCTGCCACCCCTTCCTCTTCCACCTCTGACAACCTTTGTAATTCACTCACAGTGGCTTTCACCTTCCGCTGCTCATTCACAATATCTACCTCTCTAGCCTGAGCTTCTACAGGCTTGAGTGCATGTTTAGTAGGGAACTTTGCTTCTGACTTGCTATTATAGTTTATCTTACCCATTAGGTTTAGTTGTGCATGGAAGGTTCCTTGTAGGGATTTCAGGGGTTCTGAGAGATGATGCCTTGATGTGGCTAGGTCCATTGGATATACATTTGTGGCTAATTGTGATTCCTTGTGGCACTGAATTGCTGTTTGTTTCTTAACCTTATATAATTTGATTTTGATGTTCACAAAGAGGTATATCGCCTTGTGCTCCGTGTGTGTAGAAAGATCTTACTATGCCATTTAAGATGATTCACCTAATCAAGGGGCTTTGTTGACAGATGATACTTTATGATACACCTGGTGTAATTGAGAAGAAAATGCATAAGTTGGATTCTATGATGATGAAAAATGTCCGGCGTGCTGCCATCAATGCAGACTGCGTAGTGGTTGTTGTTGATGCATGTAAAGCACCACAAAAGGTTTGCTTATTCCTTTGGGGAAATTGATTTTGGAAATTTGTTTCCGTTTTCTATTTTTTTTTATTTATTATTTGTTTGTTGGTTTGTTTCTAGATAGACAAGATCTTGGAAGAGTGTGTGGGGAACCTCAAAGACAAACCACCTACTTTGCTGGTTTTGAACAAGAGGGACCTGATCAAACCTGGTGAAATTGTGAAGAAGCTAGAGGTTGGGACTTGTTAACACCTTTTACTACGTGGCATGAATGAGCATACTCATATTGTAGGCTGATTGCGATATCATTGGTAAATAGTAATTAAAACAAATATAATATGGTTTTTCCTGTAATATTTTTTCATATGATTTGTAATTTTCAGAGTTCTTAGCTTCAGTGTGACTGTACTTCTGTTTTTGCTTATACAAGGGCCAATGGAATCTATGAATAGTAATTTGTGAATTCTGTGATTTAACAACAGCAGTATGTTTGTGACTCTGCATAATGTCTCAGGCTAGAACCTGTTGAAAAGACTTTGCTAAATTTTGAAGTAGTTAGATATCTTACTTGATGACTTGGAAGGGCACAAAATTGTTGTGAAGATAATAATACAGTAATTGTGATCAATTAGGATTGAATTGGAATTCTTTTTTGGTGTGCCTTTTTAGTGCATAGAACAGTTTCATCATATGAGTTGGTCTCATGCCCTGTATTGTGGACATTGACTGACCTTTCCTGATGTTCTCAAGGGTGGCATTTACATGCTACTTCCCTATCATCATGTATCCTAAATCAATGCCATATTCCTTACAGTGGTATGAAAAATTCACTGATGTTGATGAGGTCATACCAGTGAGTGCCAAATATGGTCATGGGGTGGATGATGTCAAGGATTGGATACTATCAAAACTTCCAGTTGGGCCTGCTTATTACCCTAAGGTATGCAACTGGTTAACTTTTTGTTCTTTTGTTGTCTTCCTTAACCCTTCAAAATGAATCATAATCTTCCATGGCACTTTTGCCTCATTATGATTATCATTCCATACCAACCTAACCATATATCAATTGTTGGATGTAAGCTGGAGCAAAATGGTTATCAGAGCACATTCTCTCTCTCTCTCTCCTCTTTTTATGTCAGCTAGTTCTCTTGTTGGGAGTTCATGCAAGAAAGTTACTTTTTGAAAACATGAAAGTAAGAACCTACTGTTCATTTATTTTGGTTTCAGGACATTGCTAGTGAGCACCCAGAAAGATTTTTTGTTTCTGAAATAGTCAGAGAAAAGATCTTTATGCAATACCGTAATGAAGTTCCGTATGCATGCCAGGTACATTTATATCCTTAGAAAGCTTGAGGTTCTTTTGACTTGTGAGACACAGTTATACAAATATAAATTATATGTAGAGCTTTTGATTCTGTTGGATACTTAATCTAGTGAAGAAATTTTAATTTATCAATATTTGATTCTGACAGGTCAATGTAGTAGCCTACAAGTCTAGACCAACCGCAAAAGATTTTATTCAAGTTGAGATTGTTGTCGAGAAAAACTCACAAAAGATCATCCTCATTGGAAAGGTAAGTTCAAGCTTTACTCATTGGTATTAACTGTGAATCATTTCAGAGACAAACCTGTCTCATCAGGGCTCCCTGGGCCTGTTCCAACCTAGTCAGGTGTCTAGCGTCAAATTACTGCACTTTTTGTTATTATGCCTTTGAGCTGGGCTTGATGATGCAATGCTTTTGCATCTTGCTTGAGGCGTTGACAAAGAACATTTATAAAGTTGTTGGTCCACGTGGTGCAAGAGGCCATCTGCAATTCTTTGCCGTGTTAGAGAATTCAGAAAGAATGCTTCATTTGTAACAAAATGAATCCACTCAAGGGTAAATGCAAAAAAATACAATTGGGTCTGAAAGCACATCTGCATGTGTGTATGTTTGTGATTTCAGTTATTCTGAACTACTGCAGGAAGGGAAAGCTTTGAAACTACTAGCAACAGCTGCTCGGCTTGACATTGAAGATTTCTTGCAAAAGAAAGTTTTTTTGGAGGTACCAACTTATTTAACCATCCCAACTAATCGATGCAAACACTCATGGCCAGCTGTAGTAACCAATAATTAGGCTGCTGATGTATCCTGAAAATTCAATAAAGCAGATATAGCATAGTAATTTTATGTAGGAAAATAAGATCCTATACACAATTCACTGACTGAACAGGTTGAAGTAAAGATCAAAGAGAATTGGCGGCAAGATGAAGGACTTCTGAAGAATTATGGCTATGGGGGGCAAATCCAAGTGTTGTAATGTAAATCTGATTGCAACTGTGTTACAGTACATAGCAGTTATGGGCGATGCGAAAGCATGCCATCAATTTTCTCTGCTGCTGGAATCAGGTATTTTAATCACTAAGTGGAATATTTTTTGGAAGTAATTATTGTTTGTCATCTCTCTCTCTCTCTCTCTCTCTCTCTCTATTTTTTGGAGGAACTGTAGTCAAGACTAATAACTTCTTTATGGGATGATTATAGCTGTTTTGGTTGCCACTGTTGTCTTCAAAAGCGGTTCATTGCCAATAGCCAAAATTTGAGAGGTGATAACATCACTAGTGGTGTGTTAAACCACCAAAAATTTGTAAAATCATCTGAAGTGGCGTGTCGTTGCTCTTGCCAAATTATGGCATTGACAAAAGTGTCTCCTCTCATTATGAGACTCACAAATAGCTTTTTTATTTGACATTTTGTGAGGAAAAAAAAAAATGGCACTTATCCTATTATAGCAGAATTGTCAAATTATAGCATATGGGCTCCCATGGCAAAGCCAAATTGGTTTTGACTTTAGCACACCATTTGATATGCTTTAATCTTATTCATTTTGCTCCAAATTTAGCAATAGCAAGTGATGTAGCTCATTAGATTGTTCAGTATCTATCTTACTATTAATATATGATGGCTCCTGATGGTGTTGCATCTTAGATTAAGAGGAGGATGTGACTCGAAACCAAGATCACAGGTTTGATAAATAAGATACGTACCACTTGAGCGACATATACTATGTGTGTATTTTTGTTTGTCAATATTCTTGTAATATTACATATATTTTTTTCTAGAATTGTGTGCAGACCACTGGTTGGGAGATATATTCAACCCTTCATTATATCCTTTGTTGTTATCTTCTTTTTATTTATTTGTTTATTTATTTATTTATTTTTGCTCTTCTTCCTTTTTAGATAATCTAAACAATGAAACTTGCATAATATGATAATTGACAACAATATCCTCAAGAGAATATAGGTTTTATATTTAATTTTTTTATTGAAAGAGAATATAGTCAAGGTGCAGAAATTATATGAGAAAATGGAGCCCGTAGTTATATCCTCTCCGAAATTGAGGCTCTAGTGGACCTGAATACTCGTGGGCGTGGGTTCAATACTTCTTTGTTGTGAGTCCTGATTTAAATGAAGTTTGTCTTGGAAGGTCGAGATGAGTTTTCAAGTTATAGTCTCTTAACTCAGAACGGACAACAGGACACCCTAGTGATTTCTGCAAGAGGTGTTGCCGTGTATTGCGGGTAAATGGGAGGATTTTTCTGTAACAAAATATATATATATATATATATACATGTATTTTGATTGATGATCTGATGATGCCCACAAGCTTCTGTAATAGTAGTCATTTTAGGCTATGTCTGGCATAAATTTTTTGAGTTAAAATAGTTATAAAAGACAAAATAGATTAAAAAGTCAATAAGATAAAATGTTACATTCAACCTATAATTATTTTATTTTTTTTCTTACAAAAGTTAAATAAGTCAAAAAGTTTATCTCAAACGCGACTTTTTAGTCTTAGGTTAAATAGTCAAAAAAATCAAAAAGTTAATTCATATCCCAAACAAAAGCTTAGTGTATTTTTAAGAGAAAAATACCAAATATGATTTATTTTTTAATAAATTTTTTATTTAGTCTTATTAACATTAGTTGATTTATGATTTAATACTCCCTCCGTCCCAAAATATTGGTCCCTTTTGGGGAATCCAACTTTTTTTGGTAGTACACTTATTGCATTTAAAAAAAGTTGGTTTTCCAAAATTACCCTTTTGATAGTACATTTTTTGGGAATATCAATGTCATAATTGTACTTTTTAAATTGTTTATTAATTTAAAAGAAGGGCAAAATAGGAAATTTACATTACTTTTGTACTTGATTTATAAAGAGGGACTAATATTTTGGGACAATGAAAAATGGAATAAGGGACTAATATTTTGGGACGGAGGGAGTAGAAATTTTTACAGTGAGTATGGTGTCTAAAGAAATCAACTAGAAAGTTGTAAATTAGTGGAATAATCTTAAAATAATTGTACTATATATAGAATTTTTTTATTTTTTATTTTTTATACTAGCGTTAACACAAAAAATTTGCATTAATTACAAAATTTTTTTAAGAAAAATGACTTAGACCCCCAGTGGGCGTGTTGGGGGGTCTTCCCTGATTGGCCAAAATTTTTTTTTTTTTTTTTTTTTGTTTCAGCCAGTGGCAGGCTGTCACGTGGCACTGGGAGGTCACTGGGGTCACTCTCACTGGAGTTCCCAGCATTGTTGTTTTTTTAAATCAAATTTAGCCTCCGTTTGGGAAGTGGGTTGGCTTTTTGGCTTTTTGGCTTTTTTGGCTATTTTAGCCTTGGCTAAAAAGCTTGGTTTGGGAAGGGCTTTTTGGCTTTTTGGCTTTTTGGCTTTTTTTTGTGAGAGAAGAGTGTAATGATTATGGGTTGGATGTGATATTTTGTTTGTTGTGGCTAAAATAGCCTGTTTTGTCTTTTGTGGCTATTTTAGGCTTGTTTTGGCATAACTTAAAAAAGTCAAAAAGTCACTATTCTATTTAAGTCACATCATCTTATTTAAGTCACATTACCTCTCTAACACATCACTTCAAATCCAATTAATACTCAACTCATTTCATAAAAAGTTAAAAAGTGTACTTATTTAGTTTATCCCAAATAATCCCAACCATCATAAAAATAAACAACTTGTTTGGTTTCGTTTTTCTGAAAATCGTTTTCAGAAAATTTTACTTTCTAGTTTTTCGTATTTTTTTATTTTTACTATAATTTTTAAATATTTTAAGTAATTTTTTTAATTTTTAGACACACTTAATATAAATGCACATAAAAAGTATAATTTTTGTGCAAAAAATCTCTTAAAAATTCAATAAATACAAAAAATATAAAAAAAAAAATACAAGAATTTAGTATATTTTTATATATTTGTTAATTTTTTTTGATAAATTTTTTTATTTTTTACATACATCTAAGTAAAATGCATATAAAAAAGTTAAAAAAATGTTTAGAATTTTAAAAATATTTGCTAAAAATAAATTAATACGAAAAATAAAAAATTCAGTTTTCATTAAATTTAATCCTGAAAATTTAAAGTAAATACACTGAAAAGTATTCACTATGTTTGGTTAGAGTTTTTCAAAAACTCTTTTCAGAAAATTCTACTTTTTTATTTTTCGTATTTTTTTATTTTTACTGAATTTTTTTTAATATTTTAAATAATTTTTTTTTTAACTTTTTAGACATACCTAACATAAATATACCTAAAAATTTAAAAATTTGTGAAAGAAATCTTTTAAAAATTCACTAAATACCAAAAATATAAAAAGAAATACAAGAATTCAGTACAATTTTTATATTTTTATGTATTTATTAATTTTTTAAAATATTTTTTTACAATGTTTTTACTTTTTAGGTATATGTATGTTAGGTATGTTTAAAAAGTAAAAAAAATTACTTAAAATTTTAAAAATATTCATTAAAAACAAAAAAATAAGAAAATCAAAAAATTCAATTTAAAAAATTTAATTCAAAAAATTCAAACTAAACACACTGATTCTTTTTACCGAAAATGTATAATTTCTGGATATTTAAAAATCTGCCGTAAACATAGTTTCATGAATGAGAGAGAGAGAGAGAGAGACTGCGCAAGTCAAAAAAGTAAAGATTAGAGATTGCTCTTCAGTGTACTGTACTGAACAGATTTTGTAGTCCTATTACAAGAAGAGGGAAGGGCAAGTGGAGTGGAGACAGTGACATTCCAGAATAGAGTTGATGGCGGAGATAGCACAGGGTGGCCACGTGTACGGCACAGATGTGAGGAAGAGGGGTTTTGAGTCACTGGCATTCGGAGAGTAAAGAAAGAAAAATGCTTGGGAGCACTAATTAGTGCTCCCACTAATTAGGTGGCAGTAGGTCCTGCCATGAATGATGTGATGTTTTGGTCTTGGAGTTGTAATTTTTTTTTATTTTTTTTATTTTTTTAATGCATTAGTACTATTAGTGGTGATGTTTTTAGTGGGATGAATCATTGTTGGTAAAGAAAAATGTTTTAAATTCTCTTTTCCTTTCAATCCGTCATGTGTGTGTGTGTGTGGAGGATGGTGGGGTTGATAATTAAAGAGTCTCTATCAATACTGGAGGAGTAAAAGACTGGGAGGGAGGGAGAGTGGCGACGTACATCAAGCATCCTATCCTACTGTGAACAGAGCGTTGTTCATATTGGAAAGTATGTCACTGCGACATTATATATATGGTAATATAGCATTCGTTTGGTATTGGGGTTAGTTTTTTGGTTTTTTATTTTTATTTATTTTTAGTTTGGAATTAAAAATTTTCATTTAAAATGAATTTTTTAATTTTTGTGATAGAAAAAAAAATTATAATTTAGATGTGATATTTTATCTTATTAATTTTTTAATTTATTTTATTTTTTTATAACTAAAATAACTAAAAAAAATTCATGACAAATATAGTCATATAAAATAGATCTAATTTATTCATTTGATAATGTATTTTTTTTCAAACATAAGATAAAAGATAAAAAAAATAAAGAGAAGTTGTATAGTACTCCCTCCGTCCCAAAATATTAGTCCCTTATTCCATTTTTCATTGTCCAAAAATATTAGTCCCTCTTCAAAAATCAAGTACAAAAATAATATAAATTTTCTATTTTACCCTTCTTTTAAATTAATAAACAACATAAAAAGTACAATTATGCATTGATATTCCCAAAAAATGTACTATCAAAAGGATAATTTTGGAAAATCAATTTTTTTCAAATGCAATAATTGTACTACCAAAAAAAGTTGGATTCCCCAAAAGGGACCATTATTTTGGGACGGAGGGAGTAATTGTTTTTAAAAAATAACATAACTAGACAAAACAGTGACAAGACCACGTATTTGTAATTTGATGTAATGTAAGAGAGGGGGCTGGCGTAGCGTGAGTTTCAGGGCCACGAGACAAACGCAGACACAGCACGCCAAATAATACTACTACTGCTGCTGAGCAGAAGAGCCTACTAACGGGTACGGACTCTACGGACTCCAATTCCACACCAGACAATGGGCTTTTTGTACTCAACAATGATTCATCCCATTAAAAACATCACCACTAATAGTATTAATGTATTAAAAAAATAAAAAAATAATAAAAAAAATACAATTTCAAAACCAAAACATCACATCATTAATAACGGGACCCACTGTCACCTAATTAGTGAGAGCACTAATTAGTGCTCCCAAACATTTTTTTTTTTTGTACTTACAATTTTGGTCTTATTTTTCAAGTCCATTCCCCCACCTCCACATGCATCTCTTTCTCTCTCTCTCTCTCAAATCTTCTTATATGGCTCACATTGGAATCACACCCGCACGTGTATCCCTGTTATTTTAAAACGTAGTGCAATGGCACTCTCTCAGTTTGAATATATTACCACCTATTTTGAGAAGGTGATAAAAAAACGGCTTTTTTTTTTTTTTTTTTTTACTTTTTAATCAAGTTTTTTGATTTTTTTATAAAATAACTTGAGAAGTTAGTAAAAAATTATTTTTTTACTTTTTGAGATAATAATTTTTTAACTTATCATGTCATGGTGTATAACTATAAAATTATCAAAATGTCCTATTGCAATATGTAATCCTAAACAACAAGGTGGGTAGTATCATAATTTCATGGAGTTGATTATAATCACAATCTCAAATCAAATTTTGTCAAAAAACACATGCGTCTCGCGTCTAGTGTTAGCCAGCCGTTGCGTTTCTCTCTCTTGCCAAAATAGCACTACATTAATTTTTTTAAAGGTTGATTTGCAATGTTTT